GCTCAGTGTTAGGAGGGGAGTTTCTCAAGTACATGGAGGCCTTCAAACCTTTTCTGAATATTGGTTTAAAAAATTATGCTGAATATCAGGTAAGGCCCTTTTCCTTGTCTTAAAAAGCAATTGGATGAGATTAAGTAGTGTTTTCAATACCTAGCAGTAATTTTATTTCAGAATCTGTCAGGATTTATTTCATAGATAGCTGTCAATATAACAAAGTTAAGTTTAATCTAAATTCTCTGAATCTTGAGGCTGTTAGCAGCTGAAACATTTTTTTCTTTCTCTCTCCCTCCATCCCCCTCTCCTTTTTTTTGCATTCTCTAATTAGGTATTCTCATTTATTGTAATTGCTTTAGAATTATCCTGTCCATGATATGCTGTTTGGCAACTTTCTGGAGATTGGATTATGATAACATAATCCAAGTGATAACACTTTTTTAAAAAGTAATGGTTTGAAAGTCTGGTTTGAAAGATCATTGTTTTTGGTGGTGGGAGAAGGAAGACAAAAGTTAATTACGGTTCTGATATCAGTAAAAGCTAAACAGCTTCCCTGTAATAGAAGATTGCAGTATAAATTATCTATGTTTTTTTCATTTTTAAGTATATTTATTTAAGTAGAATAAAATAAACATTTTAATAAAAATATATTAGAGCAATTCTTTATATCCAGCAGAAAAGAAATGTTAATAATAATTTACACATAAGCATTAAATTGCTTACAGTTTCAGCAGTAACATCAAGCATAAGATTTCCCATACTAAGCCTGATATCTGCTCAGGTTAACTGGCAAACACTCCCTACAATCACTTGTTATCCCAAAACATCCCATTTGGTGTAGAATATCAGGCATGAAAGAGCAGTTTCACATCTGAAGATCTAATGCTTATGTCCAGAAATCTTCTCAGCTAATGGTGAGCACCTGCTTGGAATTCAATAAGAGTCAAGGCAATTTAAGAGGGATTGGATTTACAGTAGTTCACTTGTGACTAAATATACATTCTAGTCTGAGCCCTCTGTTAACTCCAACCCCATGTTCTACCACTCCTTTCCCTACTTCAAAGAAAGTAATGTCTAGGCCTGAATTACAAATTAAAATGACAAATTATTCTCCAATTAAAGGGCTTTTATTTTTGGGCCCCATGATCCCAGTTAAGATAAGGATTCAAAAAGGAGAAGCAGGCTTGCATTTTACCATTTTAAATTACATTATTCTGTAAACTGTCTCATGGATAACAAAATGTGTAAAATCTCAGATTAGGAGAATATTAACAAAGAAGGAGCCAAATTAGCAAATGGATTATGGTATAAACAAAAGAAGAAAAGAATTTGAAATAACATAAAACAACATTAGTTAAAAATATTGAATCTTCTAAAAGAAAGATTGTGACTTCACTATACACCTAATTCAAACACCTTCCTTCAGGGGCAACCACAGCAAGTAGGTTTTCGAGTTAGTAATTACAGTACAAATATGGGAAAAGATATGGGAAAATCCAATAAAATTTACTGCAACTTAAGGGAAATTGGTATAAAATTTGGCCACAATATTGGAAACGAAAAGCTTTGTGCCAATAATACAAAGTTGAAAAACCAAAATTGGAGAATATAGTCAGCAAAGGCAAGCTGACTATATATCTGTAATAGATATATTGAAGCATTTTTAAAGCATACTGCCCAATTGAGGAATTGCCTTGCAGGCTCAATTTAATATTGTAATAGGGAAATAATGATTGATGCCTAAAGTGAGGCAAAAAGTGACTCATTGGTTATATTTGCTTTTGCAGGTCTGTTTAGCTGCAGTGGGCCTAGTGGGTGACCTATGCCGGGCTTTGCAATCCAACATTCTGCCCTTTTGTGATGAGGTTATGCAGCTTCTTTTAGAAAATTTGGGGGTGAGTAAATTGATGATCTAAAAACAAAAGAAAAATAAAATTTCACATCTATTAGTGAACGATATGTTTAAAAAATTCTTAATAATGTAAACATTGATTTGATCTTATGGCTTGTTTCTGACAAAGGAAGAAGAAAGCAAGCAATGTAAATAAAACTGAAATAGTTTTATGAAATATGAAATAAAAATGAAAATAATTTCTATTACTATTAATTAGAATAATTGGAATAATTACTATTCCAATGAGTATTATTTTCTCACTTAAATTATAAATACGGAAATCTGCAGTGCCATTTAATGCCTATATGTGGCGCCTATTTTTAAAAAATGTATATTCATCTGTGGCTCACCAAATTGATTATGTTGTGTAATCTTTAATGAGTAGCAAATCTGGTGATGAGTTAATACTTGGTTGCTAAGACTGTACAGTCTTAGCGTGTACAGTCCTATCTGTATATGACAACTGAGACCCTTTGAATTAGTAAGAAATACGTTGAGAACTGAAATACTTTTCACTTTTAGTATTACAAAATGGGAAAAGCCCTCAGCACCTTGGGGGCAATATCTGATAGAATATGTATCGAACCTAATATAATTTCTAAAAGCTAAACTGTTGACTATGAATTATTTTTACAGAATGAAAATGTACATCGATCTGTTAAACCGCAAATTCTCTCAGTGTTTGGTGATATTGCTCTTGCAATTGGAGGAGAATTTAAAAAATACTTAGACGTTGTACTGAATACTCTACAGCAAGCTTCTCAAGCCCATGTTGATAAGGTAAACAATCCTTTGGATTAAATGTCTATGGAAATTCTCAATCATCCGGGTCATAGTTGTCCCAAAGATGCTCCCCATCCCTTGTTTTTATTCAAAAGGCAGGTGGACTTTATTGAGTTTTTTTCTTTGAAGATGTTTCACTTTTCATACAAGAAGCTTATTCAGTTCTACTTAACTGAATGGGGAATGGACGGATTTATATTCTTTGCAGTCATACGGTCATACATTCAAGAGAGTTATTGAGGCCATTTGGGGGTTTATCCACAGAGTCATCTAAATCAGAGTATAAATGGGTATGGAACCTTCTTGGGACTACTGAAAGGACTGTTGTAAGCAGGAGAAGGGGAAAAAAGTGGCTTTGGGATAAGATTTGGGTCCTATGTATTTGAGATAGATGATGGACAGTTAATGATAGGACAATAATTCCAAGATAACTCTATTTTATGTTTGTTCTTAGTCTGATTATGACATGGTAGAGTACTTGAATGAATTGCGAGAAACCTGTCTGGAAGCATACACAGGCATTGTTCAAGGTCTGAAAGGAGATCAAGAAAATGTACATCGTAAGTCCTTTTCTTTTTAATTTCCTTGAGTACCACAGATACAGACCTCTGCGTGAGGCTCAGTTTCTGCCAATGTTTACTCCTCTTAATAATGGGAAATTGTCAGTGCAAGGCTTCTTATTTTGCCTTGTTTTAAGATAGGGCTATTACATTAGAAAACATGGTTGCATCCTTCATTACTCTTTGTATGATGTTTCAGGGTATTTTGGTGGCATTTAACTCGAATGGCATATTTTTACAGCCCTGGCCAAATTACCAAATGATCTTTGTTTGCATCTGTATTTTTATTATTAAAAAACTATTTTACAATAGTTTTTTAAATGAACAACACAAATGAAACAGGTACATACACAGCTACATAAACCTTTTCGTTTAGGTTTCATTTAGAACCTCTGCCTGAGTTCATCCTGTAATGTTTCCTGTTTAAGATTAGATTTTAGGAATAATTTGATGTGTACCCAGCCCGTTCTAAGAAATCAAGTTTTCAGAATAATAAATGAAATATTACGGAGTGAACAAGAATTTTCAGATTTGGAGAGGTTAACTTCTTTGTGTGTGTGTGTGTGTGTGTGTGTGTTTTTACTTTATTTGTATGCTGCCCTTTTCCCTGAGGAATTTGCTTTCCTTCAATTTGCTTTAAAATGGCATACAATACACAATTTTAGGTGGTTAGTTTTGGAAGACTAGGATATATGTCGGGTTTTTAAAATTAAAAAATTCTTTTCTTCAATTGTTAACTTGCGTTAAATTTCACAATTGCCATAGGATAAGGAGTTGTGACTGTGAAATAAATAATGTTAGAGGCAAAAGGACTGTTTTCTACGCAAACCCCAGTGCTTTATTCCTATACCCCACAAATTTATGAATCTCATCTTTTCTAGTGTACTAACCAATAAAAGTTAGTAAAACCATTCTATGTGATTAGAAACCTTTGAGGTTTCAGTCACAAAGCTGTATCTCCCTTGTCTCTCAATTACTTCTTGTGTAAGATGTGTATCAACTTTTATATGAGCACTAAAACAGTTTTAAGATAGCAAGTAGAAGAAAGGTATAAAAGCAATGTCAGGAAAAAGAATATAACCTTTGTAGGATGCCTCTAATACAAATTAGGTATATAGTTGAACAGAGTTTCAAGGTAAACCTTCCAGAATTGTTGATATTGAAATTTCATGATATTTCAGGAAGAAATAAAGAAATAAGCCCTTAATGTAAGCCTATAAAGCTAAATTACGCTTTCTTTTCAGCGGATGTGATGCTGGTGCAGCCTAGAGTAGAATTCATCTTGTCTTTCATTGACCACATTGCTGCCGACGAAGATCATAGTGATGGAGNAGTAAATTCTATGCCAAGGGTGCTCTCCAGTATCTAGTCCCAATTCTGACACAAACATTGACAAAACAGGTAAATAATATATATGTTGGCACCATTCTCCATTGTTCAGGTCATCATTGGGATGAGCAACAACAGATGTACAGCCTCACTTCTGCCGTGGTTCTTAAGACATCGGGTTATTGCTTCTTCATTGACTGCCTGTTGGAAGCTGGTTGTGGAGCCTGAATATGACTGCGAGATACTGCAAGATTGTAAATACTTGCCATCTATGAAGCACCTGAATTTCAATCATGTGATTCCAGGAAAACTGCAACAGTTGTAGGAGATTGACTTGGTTATAAAGTTACTTTTCAGTGTAGTTGTAACTTTGGTCAATAAAAAGTCATTAACCAAAGTACTATCTCTAGTTTTAGGCCTATAGTTTTCATCACTTTAGTATTCTGCAAGCTATATTTAAATTTATCTCCTAGTATATTTTATTGTTTGATCTGGTTTTTCAGATAGGTAGTTAAAATCTTGGCAGACATCAGGTTAGGAAGGACTGGCATAATTATTGTGAAAAAAATAAGAACAAGCCTAAAATATCCTGTGGATATTTGCAATCTGCGGAAAGAAACCTGTGTGTTCTAATTTCAGATAGTTTTTGGTTTAATCTATATTTTTATAGACAAAGATTATGAAATATTTCTGGTAATCCTGTAGAGATTGCATTCATTTATAAACTGGTGGTGCATCATAATAAGAATTATGCACTTCTGATTTATGAATGAATGCAATCTCTTACTCATAGCCATATAGTATTCCAAAATTATTGAATACTGTCCGTTGTCCAGTTGGAGATTGGTGCTTGAAGAAATACTCTGACCTGAACAGAGCTAAAAGGTATTTCCTATTTCCCTTTCTGCTTCTCTTTTAAATTATTTTGTTTATCAGTCTCTACAATTTGAAAATCATTATTTTGATAAGCTATGCCAAAATCAGACAATTTTTTTCCTAATTTGGGACCCCAAAGTCTTCAATTTTTATGAGGTTGTCAAATATTTTGGGAAATCATTGTCATACCTTAAATCTAATCAGATTTATTATAAAATTATTTGGGGTATTTAAAATATAATCCTGAATACTATTTCTCCCCATTTTTCTCCATTTAGGATGAGAATGATGATGATGATGACTGGAACCCCTGTAAAGCAGCTGGGGTCTGTTTGATGCTTCTGGCAACCTGTTGTGAGGATGACATTGTGCCTCATGTTTTGCCCTTCATTAAAGAACACATAAAAAATATTGACTGGCGATATCGAGATGCTGCTGTCATGGCATTCGGATGCATTTTAGAAGGCCCAGAACCAAACCAGCTAAAACCTCTTGTCATTCAGGTGAGAGAGAGGCTTATGCTAAAAATATGGGTCCATTTCTTTTGAAATGAAGGCTTGCAAACTGGATAACTGGTTTGTAAAAATATTAATTATGTCTCTCTTTTACTAAAAAATACTTCATAATATTCTGAGAATAGCAGGTTCATGAGGAAAATAGCAAGGACCAGGTATGTACTTGACATGTTGAATTGACTCTAAGGCCAAAATGAATTTATGTTAAATGTACTACGCATTTGATTTGTTGTCATTATTTTGATCAAATGAGTGTGTTCCACAATAACAATACTGTTGGTGCAACCATTGTTTGGTACAAAAGGTCTGAAAGGTTTGCAGCATAATATATTGCTCTGGTACTATAAAGTGATAGGAGCCTCTCAGAAAGTCTCCATTCCATTTTTCTCCCAGAAAAGGATACCATGACAAGAAAAGGCAACTATTATCACATTCTGCTTTAATTGTTTGTGATTGGAGAAGTGATTGGGCTCCTCTGCCTTCTGTAGTGATTTTGAGGAGTAAGTGATGAGGAACAAACCACAATATTTGAAGAACATATTTTTATTAGCTGAAATATTGGCAAATCATATCAGATTGTGATATTACTCTCTAAAAATAAATACAGAAGAACTTATATAATTCTTAAATGTATTCTGTGTTAGTATTGCATTGGTCTTGTTTCATTCTGAGAACTGCCAATGGAGGGACATCTTTCTAGCGACAAAGCAAAAGATTCAGAACTAGTGGAAAGCAATATTAGTGCAGTCATAAATGAACTATATTTTTCCTGCCCTTTGTGATATATATTACAGCAATTCAAAACAACCTATAGCATTACCTTTCCCCTAGATCCAGTAATTTTAACTGAAAGTGATTGGCATATCAGACTTACTTTAGAGTTGCTTTCAGTTGATTTTGTGCCTAATTCAAGGGATTAGTGATTGCCTTTAAAATACTACATTGAGTGCATTGAATCAAAGATAGGAAAAGAACCATTTCCAGTTGTGATCCAATTTGCATCCTGAGATTTGTGAAAAGGATTTCTTTTTTAATTATATTTAAATCAGGTGAGAAAATTTAAAAAATGATGCAAAGACGTGATATCTGTAAGTGGACAAAGAAATTACAAAAGATATACAATTAGCAGTCAGTACTTTGGCAGTGACAAATTATCCATAAAAAAGAAAATACTTGAAGTTTTTAACAATAAGCAAAAAGGTTTTTAGAGATCTTTTTGAAGAGTGCCAGAGTTTCCACCATTTTGTTTTTTTAAGTTTCCACTTTAAAAAAAGAACTACTAAAACCTTATAGATAAATATTTAATTTCTAACTTCTTTATTATAGTCTGATATACATTTGTATTTCTGATTTCAGCTCCACTCTTTTTCCCTTTAAAAATGTACTCTAGAAACTTTAAAACTATACTGTAAATGCTTAAATTGTCTAATTGCATTGCCTCATTTAGATCCGTTCACAGTAATGAAAAGGCAAAAGAAAGCTGAAGACTTTCAATTTTTCTTAATAACTGCTTCGCTTAACAACCAAGTTCCCAGTCCTAACTGCAGTTGCTAAATAAAAAGTACTACTATGTAATATATATGGAAGCCATTCTTGTTTAAATTGTCAAATTTCTGTTATGAATATATGCTGTCAATTTTGCAATTACTGTATGTTCTGCATATTTAAGTCTGAAATTAGTAACATATCAGATAAGTAACATATCAGAAAATAAAGATTTTCTGGTACTATGTTGAGTTTGCCATTGCAGTATTGAACTTAAAAAATTTCATCTATGTATACATACACTGCACAATTATTAGGCAAGTTGTCTAAATTTAGAGGATTAATTTAATTATTGAACAACTACAGTGTTCTCAGTCAGACAAAATATTAATAAATCTCAAAGCTGAATATTTAAGTAAAAAGCAAAAGTGAGATTTTGGTTTTCTTAGGAGAATATCTATGTGTACACTATTATTGAACAACTATATAACATAACTATTGTGCAGAAATATGTTACTAAATGAAAATGAACATTTTTCCATTTCATTTATTTGCATCTGTTAAAGTGAGAATAATAAAAAACAACTCAAAATATACAAATAAACACTATTCACATTCCCCCCAAAAATATCAGTGACCAATATAACCACCCTACTTTTCAATAATAGTCATTAGCCTTCCATTCATGGAGTCTATTAGTTCCTTGATCTGTTGACGATCATTTTTTTATGCAGCAGCAACCATAGCCTCCCAGACATTGTTCAGAGAGGTGTATTGTTTTCCTTCACCATAAATCACCCATTTAAGAAGGGCTCACAAGTTCTCAATAGGGTTTATGTCAGGTGAGGAAGAGGGCCATGTCATTATTCTTTCATCTTTAGCACCTTTACCAGCTAGCCACCTAGTGGAGTACTTCGATACATGCAGTGGAGCATTGTCCTGCATGAAAGATGCAGACTTTTTCCTGTACTATTGCTTGAAGAAAGTGTCTTCTAAAAACTGGCACTAATTTTGGGAGTTGATTTTTAGTCCATCTTCAACCCGAAAAGGTCCAATTAGCTCATCTTTAATAATATCAGCCCATACCAGTACCCCACCTCACTTGGCTGGTGTCTGAGTTGAAGTGGAGCTCTGCTCAAATTATTGATCCAGCCATGGGCCCATCCATCTGGCCTTTCAAGAGTTACTCATCATTCCATAAAAGCTTTGAAAAATCTGCCTTCAGATATTTCTTGGCCCAGTCTTGCTGTTTCAACTTATGTGTCTTGTTCAGAGGTGGTTGGGTTTCAGCCTTCCTTACTTTGGCCATGTTTCAACATCTGTACTTCTGGGCACTCCAGGTAGGTTTTGGAATATGACAGCACAGGGAGATAATGGGTTCCTGGTAATTCACGTTTGATTCCTCTCAAATCTTTGGCAGTTAATGTGCATCTTTTTATCATCATGTTTTTTGTCATCCTGTTGACTATGCAACAAAACATTTGATGGTTCTGTGATCAAGCCCCAATACTTAGCAATTTCAAGAGTGCTGCCCACCCGACTTTTTAGAGTCGGTTAAATCTCTTGTTTGGCTCATTTTGCCTGAGGAAAAAAAGCTGCCTAATAATTATGCATACCTTGATATAGGGTGTTGATCTCCTTAAGCTACACCCTCATTACATAAATACACATCATCTGATATGCTTATATCCACTAAGCATTCAAATTTATACAACTTGTATAAGCTGTATTTATACAGCTTGTGAAAAATATGCATAAAAACGGTCAAAATACTTGCCTAATAATTGCACACAGTGTATACATATGTATGTATATAAATAATAACTTCAGGTTGGCTGGCACCTTCGTAGTCTTCCCTCTGCCATTTAACTTCAACTTACTTTATCCTTGTTTTTACTATCTCCTTTTATTAAGGTATCATTTTATATGGTTTTTAGGATATTATGTTTTTAACTGTATGCTGCCCAGAGTGTCTCTGTGAGTACACTGGACAGTACCCAAATTAGACAAATAAATGCCCATAACATATAGTAAAAAAAAAATCTCGTATAAGCTTTCATGTTTAATATGTCCAGTATTTTCCTTCCCTACTTGTATTGTGTCCCAGACATGGTTTCATTTTGCTTGGTTATTAATAACTAATCCCAGTATCTGGACATTAGATGCTAATATTGTCTGTGTTTTATTGTTTATTGTTTTAAGTTTCATTAAATATTCTGCTAGTTTTTATTGTGCATAAGTTTTGCTAAATTGGCTCAAGTTTGCTTGTTCAATATTTGAATACTGAATATTTCATTACAAATCATTGAACCTGAAATCTCTATATGATATATTTTAGTTATAATGTTACGTTATTCAATATTTTGGAGTAATTAGCATAGCCTATGCTTCCATATGGGTCTAATTGGTAAGAATATACCTTACAACATGCCTGGCCTGAGATCTAACTGAAAAGCTGAAGGAGACAATTGGAAAGATAAGGATTTTGAAGACTACTTTAGACATGAAAAGTCTAACACAGATTGACAGTGGACCATTTTTCTCCTAGGCTATGCCTACTCTTATAGAGTTAATGAANTCATCTTGTCTTTCATTGACCACATTGCTGCCGACGAAGATCATAGTGATGGAGTTGTAGCCTGTGCAGCAGGACTGATAGGGTAAATGCTGAAGCTTTATGATCTACTGTCTCACAGTGAATCTCTCTCTCCTCTTAGGAAGACAAGATGATAATGCTTTACTAAGAGCTTTTTTTTAACCTTATAAAATTTCTAAAACTGTTTAATCTTGGCCCACTATTAAATATTTACTTGTTAAATAGCCACAACACTATGCTGTTAAATTCTTTTTGTCCTTGCTTAATAATAAATGGGACTGGAATTTTTAACTAAGTGATCTGGTTGTAAAGTGAGACATGTGACTGCTGCTTAGCAACATTCCAGCATTCCCTCAAAGTTAAACAAATCATTAGTCATTAAGTGAACCACCATGGGTTATTAAGTAAGAACTTAATGTTACCATGACTTCCAGCTTCCTTATTGACTTTGCTTCTGGGAAACCAACAGGAAAAGTAGTAAATCATATTGACATTACTACAGGATGCTGTGTTGTTTGGAAATCCAAGCCATTGTTGTGCAATTATATCACAATATCATGGGGCACTGATAGCCAGAATTTTGAGGACTTTATCACTCATTCAGCGCTATTCTAAATTTGAATGGTAGCTGAATGAATGGTTTTCAATCGACCCATCTGTACTTATTTATTCAATTAATTTATATGGCTGTACATATCACAGATATAAAATTCTGGTGGCTCACAACATATGAAACAAATAAAAACAATACCATTGTTATGAGATCCATACACTATAGATTCTACAGTGTATGGTCAAAATAAATGCAACAAACTACAGTGGCAGTGCCCCAGTAACCTTGGCTTCCCAGGAACACATCCAACTTTTCAGTGCTTTGCAAAAGACCAGCAGAAACAACAGAAAAGACTTGAATCCTAGGTCCTATTAGATTGCATTATTTAATTGAGGGGACTCGGACTGAGTTCTTCCTATCAAGTCTACTGGGATGAGAAGTCCCTCAAATAACTCAGTCTCATGCCATGAGGAGATAATCGGCACTTTGAATTCCACCCAGAAGCCAATATGGCTGGCTAGTGGCCTTCCAGGATAAACCAGGTAGGGAAACAAGCAGATGAGCTACTTCATTGGAAAACTACATTGACAGAATTTGAAAGTACATTCCCTACCACCACCCTAATCTTTACAATCTAAGAAACTAGGAAAGAGTCCTACTCCTGAGTCTCAACTATCCCGCTGCAAGCTATGCCCTTTTTCCCCTCTATGCCCAGTCTTCCAAGATCATTTCCTCATTGGCAGAGTACATGGCGTAACTGGACATACATTCTGAACCAGTTGCAACTTCTAGAGGGTCTTCAAGGGCAGCCCCAAATAAACTACATTGCAGTAATTCACTTTGTGGCTGGAAATAATCTTTGATTTATGATCTCAATGGATTCAGAACTTGAGGCACCATTGACCAGATATGGTCATAAAAACAAGTCTCTGCAATTTTTAAGCAAACCATATGGTCATTAAAAAAATCCAGCATACTCAATAGGCACATTCTGTTGGGAAATGGCAAAAAAAGCAGCAGCAAATTGTGATCTGCAGGTTGCTACAACTACTTGTAAATTTGAGCTGGTTGCCAACATCTGAAATGTGATCATGTGACAGCAGGGGGGAATGGAAAGTGTGGCATTCATAATTCGAAAGAGCCAAGAAACTTTGAACTATCCACAACACATACTATGAGTTTCTATATTTGCTTTTCACAGGGATCTGTGCACAGCATTTGGGAAAGATGTCCTCAAGATGGTAGAAGCTAGGCCCATGATACATGAATTACTAACTGAAGGAAGGAGATCAAAGACGAACAAAACAAAAACCCTTTCTACCTGGGCCACTAAAGAGTTGAGAAAACTGAAGAATCAAGCTTGGTGAGAAGACTCCAACTTTCTTGTTCTTTAAAACAAACTGAGCTATTCCTGTACAGAAGTTGTATTAGAAGTTCAGAGAACTAGTGTAATTCCTAGTGAATAAACTTCTAAATGCAGAAAGTAGCATTTGGATTGTCATCTCCATGGTTTTTGTCTTCAATGTCCTTCCTCCCCCCAAAAAATTCCTTATTTTTGAAGACCTTTAAAAATTGCAAGAAATATAATGTAGCATAATATGACAAATTGAAGTAGAAACGTTTTCTAATAGGGACAAAAGAACCTGTAGTAATCGAGCAATCTTATTGTTACTGAAGAAAATGCAAGTGTCTTTTTATATTACATTATCTCCTTATTTGTCTTCACTTACAGATCTGTTACCATTGGGATGACACCTGAGACCCCCACTGGAATTCTCCAATCTATTGAGGAAAAAAACCCAACCCGAAGTGAGGAGTGTGCACGGATGCTGAGTGTTTGGGAATGAGAGGATGAGTGAGTGAGAGGCTTAAACACACCACGGTGAAAATCCAGCCACGGCAAATGGCAGAACCGCTGTTAATGGAGCTAATCACTGACTTGCGTAGCAACAAAACCTTGTCATCGCTTGCCTCCAGGAAGTAGAAAATGATTGAGTTCTATACTTCAGTACAGTCTCTTCTGACAAGAGACAAGGACTAATTCTCTGCCTTGTGGACAGTGAAGAGGAAGCTTACTTAATCTAGGACAGAGAAAAGCTAGCTTCAGGTTCAATTTGAGTACTCATATAATAAGGTCTGGCTTTCGTTGCTAGAGAGGAGAAGGTGGGGTCCCCAGCTCATGACCTTTTAACCATTTTTGGGAGGGAAAAGCCGCACAACGCTGTCAGTGCACGAGATAAATAGGAAGGGTGAAGGATTTTCTTCCAAGAGTGAGTGTGTGTGAATGAGGCAGTATCTACATTCTCAATTGCAGTTAATCTTTCCCAAAAGAAACACTGAAGAGATTAGCAGTTGCATTTCATAAACTAACAAGTTCAGTCTACTTGAAGTGGCAGAAAAGTAAGAGATTTGAAAGGGGAGGGGGGGAAGAGAAGTTGCCCCGTGTAGGGCTTCTTTAGGTAATTTTAGCTGGGATGTTCAAAGCTCCCATCGTGACACTTTTTCACAATCTTGTTTAATTAAAAAGCGCCTTTCCTTCCTGAATTTTGTTCAACTGTGAATGTAGAAACCCAGGGTTGGGTGGGGTGGGAGGAGGGTAGAGTATCCAGAAGACTCTCAAATGTTAGTGGAGAGATTAGGATCAGTTTTTCCAAATGAGATATGAAGCTTCTAAACAAAACATAATTTTGCTTTGAATTGGTAATAATAAAAACAACCAAAAGGAACAAAACCCCTTTCGTTGTGAACAAAATAGCCCGAACCACACATAATTGTGCCAAAGAATTTTTAAAAAGTCTATAAACAAACAAACGAAACCTTTCAGGAAATATTCGATTGAAAAAAAGTTGAAATAAAATGTTCAAACAAAGAAAAAGATAAAAGTACAATTTGGAAACCGCTTGGCCTATTTGTTCTCTTTATTTGGTTCTGATATGGGGTTAGTCTTGCTGCACTTCAAAAAAGGAAAAATTTATATAAATATATATAAATATATATATACTGACTTGAGCTTACACAGGATGGCACTTGTAAAAGGTTATATTTTTCCACTGCAGTTGAAGATTAATAAAATGGTGTCAAACATTCCCCCAGTACTATTTTTTCTATTACTCTTTCCAGTAGCAGGAAATCCTCTCCCCCCTCCAAAAAAGCAATTGGGCAGCTGTATACTATTATCTATACTATCTGTTAAAAACCTATAGTTTCAAATATTTTAAAAAACATTTACGTTGCATTATAACAAATGGACAGAGACAACTGTCCAGATATTAAGAATCCCTAAAAGCAGAGGGAATGAGACACACCAGCTTCTAACTATGCAGCAATTGATGCTTAGGGGCTTTTAAAAGATGGGTGCTTTTCATGCTTGCCTTGTAAAATAGGTAATCTCATCCTTTCAACAAGCATTAAACTTTTTTTTTTTAAAAAAAACAACAACCCTCACTTCCCTTTGCTGTCTCTGTACGTTCTCAGGCTCATCTTGGGATTCTCTTTGGTTGCCCATCCTCATTGGAAAGCAAACAAGCCAGTTTCTTATACAGGGTATCTGATGTTGTGCCTTTCAGTGCCAGGTTCAGAATTGTAGCCCCAAATGCTAATTTCTTGAACCAGTGTACAAAACAAAAACAAAATATAAGACCAAGTGGTTCAGCAGAAAGTTCCAGCATGAGTCTGAAAGAGGGGCTTTTATGGACTTGGGTCCACCTTTTTCTTAATGCCTTTTTTTCTTTGGGATAGTTTTATTTGAAAGATGCCCAAAACGAAAGCCATTCCTAAACTGGGGAAGGAGTGCGTGAAGGGAAATTCTCATCATTCCTCAGTGCTACTGAACTCTGTCCAGTGTTGGCTATCTAGCTGTAGGCTGCAGGCAAATAAAGTACACTGAGTTAGTAGTGGAAACCAAAAACGTGTGTCTTACTTTTTTTTTCCTCTTGGCATTCAGTGCTTATTTCTGAAAATGGTGAAAATCTATGCTGAAGCAAACTTCTATTTTTAATTTTTACCTGAGCTTATGCATCCTATGTGTATTCACTGTGTGCTTGGGGAAGGGGGAGACTACCCTGTACCTGTGCTTCAAGGAGGACTCGCATTAATGAGTATTTTATGAATTATGTTACCACATCAGATGTGTACACTTATACATGAACAAATTGTTCCTACATTTGGAGGAAGGTACATGGCATCTCTGAGAAGCTTTAGAATTAATAGAATGTATTTTGGAGCATACCATTGTGGCCGTTACTGTGTGACTTACTTTAGCTTGGATAGAAAGTTTAAAGTTCTCGGAATTGGGGAGATACTGCTATAGTCTGTCCACAATTTGCTATCAAATTGAAATTGTTGAGAGGAAGGAAAAAACGGTAAATATACAGAGAAATGTTACTTGTATATAATTTCAAATGTTGCATGTTTTGCCCTCACTTTGAAGTGTGGCCTTTAGCCAGAATTGTTCCTAGTGAATAGGTATGTATTCCAGGTTCTCTTGGATGGGATTTTGCATATCCTCTAAAATTCTCCTTATTCTGACGCCAATTATCTGTGAATTATGGTCTGTCAGATACTTTAAAATTATATGTTGAGCTCCTTATGAATGCATATGACTCATAAGTCACATGTTGAATCTGACTCAACATCTGTGAGGTAATATAACCATATGCCTCTTTCAAATTCTATATTGTCAGAGACTTTCAAAGATGTGAATTTCCAGATGTGTTGCTATTTAATAAAGAGTGTTGGAAGGAGAAAAGAAAAAACTACTTGGGAGATATTTAAATTTAGCTGTTCTATGTTCTGCAATTTGTGGCCACCTGGAACATAAATTATTTTCTCAACAAGTTTCCAAAGTGGCATTCAATTTAAAAATATATTCAAATTACCAGAGATACCAAACTATATATTAAAATCACCTTGTAGTCACAAAACTTCATAACCTGGCAGAGAAGATTTGAAAGCTAACACACAAATTAAATTGACTGAAACCTATATCTTGATGATCTTGATACAAACCACTGTGTCAACACTAGCTCTCAGTAGGGTACTCCAGCATGCCTAATTGTAAATTCAACTTTTTTTTTTGCAGCTACTCAGATTATAAATAGAATTATTTTATGGAATTAACTATTGTTACTAATTTGTTCCTTATTTATTAAATTTATATGCTGCCCATATCACTATTCAAAATGACTCTTGGCAACTTACAATAAAAGCACAAATATAGTGAAGCAATTGGTATTCAACTGCTTTAAAATTCATCAAATTCAGTACTTGATGCATTTTGAAGCAAACATGTTCTGGTACTTGATGCACAAGGTAGAACCTGCTGGCATTGGCTGCCTCATGACTCACTTCTTCCAGCTGAAATAAAGGTCATGGGGTAAGTCATGTGATTTGCTCAGTATTCATTTTTACTACTCATACCTCTAGGAACTGGACAAATACTGAAGTACTACTGTATAAAAACTAACAAGAATTAAATTAGGAACCAAATATAGTTATGTTAAAATCCTGTACACTTTCAAACTAATTTAGGAAAGTTTCCTTGTTCATAATTGTGATACATCCTTGAAATGTAAGATAACATTAAGGGGGGGAAATCCACCCTGTTTGTCAAATTATAGAATCTGTTGTAACCCCCCAACACTTAATTATATAATAATGCATTAAAATATCTGACATTTGTGTTCAACAATTTGCTTCCAAACTGGTTAAAGCGGTATACTGAATAACCCAAGCATGAGAACATCATAAAAGATTATTCAATTCAACTTTATTTTTAATAAGTAATATTTCCTTTCACAAATAACTTATACCTTATTTTAAAAAATAAATCACTTTGTCATTGGGCCTGTTATGTCTTCTCTGGCAGCCTGCAGTCATTTTGTGATGTTAATGTTTTCACCATGAATTTTTATTCCTATGCATTCTACTTGTAAAATTTCAAATTCATTCCTCCATTCTCATAGTGCATTTTAAAGATAATATGACTGCATAGAGATACAATAAGATTGCCAATTTGCTTTGATTACAGGTTATTGGGCACAGATAACAAAAGTACCAAAAATGATGCAAACCAAATAAGCCATTTGGTTTGCAACACTTTTTCGTGCTTTCAGTACCACCTGAAGAAACTTCTTGAAACTGTTGGAGAAGGTCTCAGCAGTGAGCAAATCAAAATGTCACTTCTGTTTTAGAAGTAGGAGGGAGGCATCTTTGAAAGTTGTTTAACTTTTTAAAAAAAACAACCCTTTGGAAATTTGCACAGACCTGGCAGCAATACCATTGCAGGAATTAGTATGAAGCAAGTAGTTAGTGTGATTTTAAATATTATATGAACAATAAGCATGACCAGACTGGGAAGGTCAGCTTTAGCCTGGTAGAGAGAAGGCAATGAGGCAAGATTTTACAATACCAGTTTGTTTGAAAGGGTAGTGATTGAAATTACAAAAAGTATTTATTGAGGCTTATCCCATGAATATATATACATTTTAAAAGCATCCATTGTTCCTTTCATGTAAAATGACTCATTGAGCATCCATACTTAACATTCTTGTGAATAAACCATTGAAAGCAATATTTTCAGGAACTGTGAGTTGTAACTACATCTGGACCAAGTTTGAAATTTAATACTTTGATCTTGAACTCTAGTGTGAATTATCCAACATTATTTCAAACTAGAGTTATGCCAATTTCCAACCAGAAGTGCAACATGAATCATCACCATATGGCTGACATCACAGGATGCTAAACCATGAGTTGTACCAGAAGAAAAATACCAGGTTTATATGTGAAAATCCAATTAAACTAATGCCTGTGCACATTAATGATTACGTGCTTGAAGTTAGATAAGGGTAAATGGAATTCAAGGGAGGTTAGATTTAGTTTGTGGCTATGTAGGTATTCTAGGCTGATCCTTTTTTAGCTCAGCCCCCAGTTCTGCCACTTCTATATGTAGTTTTGTTGAAGTTGTAGGCTGAATAATTTGTGACATTAAACCATAAATTATTACTCTGATGGCTGGTGCACATGACAAACTCGGCCAAAACAATTTAGAATGATAACTAAATATGTGTCCATGTTCGATGATCTATGTTTAGTTCAGTCCACAGGACATCCAAGTAATTATTTTTTGAAAATCTAAAGTGACTGATAAGTCAATAAAGTAGTGCTCAATTTCTTTAAAAAGCTTCATGAGTCTGACTTCCACTGCTAATTTGAAACCTGATAAAAATAAAATTGGCTCTCTATGTGTTTATATTAGAATATTTCACTTTTAATTAATAGAGGACACTGTCCATAAAAATGGGCAGATAACCTATGTATTTTTACAGAGTGAAGGAGTATTGGGTCCAAAGCCAATCAAGTTGAGATTCTACAAGCTTCTCTATCAAGTTTCTTAGTATTGTCCACTGATTTCAAGCTCGGCTTTCTCAAACCAGGATACTCTTCAGATCTGAAACTCAGAATTTCTTCATCAACATGGCCATTGTTTATAATTCTGATAGTCCATGCATCTAGATCATGTCCAGTTAATAGTAATAACATGATTGTATGCAAAAAAATTAAAGGAGCCTACAGAAGAAAAGTATGGATATGAATGGATAGGGGCAGCATTCCTCCTACCTCTTGTGGCTGTCAGAACCTCCAAATCATAACTAGCAAAATGCAGAAGTAGAGTGGCTAATTTTCAATTATGCTTTTTGTAATTTAAAAAAAAATAGACCTGCCATCCACACAAGCTGGGAAACCATTATTGTAAAGCATAACCAGATTTTGGAGTATTGGGATCTGTTGGTATACATTCATAGAATAGTAGCTGAGAACTGTTAACATACTAGAAAGAGGAAAACAAGTGGCAGAAAAGGAAAGAGGCCAGGGCTTCAGGAGAGGAGAAGCTAACTTGAATATGCCAAAAGGCTATCCAACATCAAGAGGTTGTTTGAACCAAAATCAAACAAAAATCAGATTTTACTCTGCTAAATGTGGGTTGTGCTAGTTTAATCACAAAAACATCAGACTAAGGCCAATCTAGTTTCACTCGGGTTGAAATTGCAATGGCAATTGTATGGGGGGCATTCCCACGGTGGTTAAATTAACACTCTTATAGTCTGCAGTGCAAACATACCCATTTTCCTTTTCAAATTTTGCATCACTCCTTTATAATGTTATCACCATGTCTTCAAAATACTAACTAACTGGGATGGAGAGCAAAAAGCAAAGCAAAATCCAGTTCATCTTATGTCACAAGAACAAGGCATATGAGACTGGATTCCTATATTATGCCAAGCATTAATAGGATATGCCCCCCTTCTTAAAGCATTTTATGAACTGATCTCAGATTTGGTTAAGGCTCTAGGCTATTTTCTATTTTAACCCTAATATCCTTAACTGAATTTTAAAACCCAGGAAAAATGGACATGTTCTTAGTGTCTGTCCAAGGTTATTTTCTTCTGAAGGATAATGGAAACGGTGTGGAGCTAAATTTGTTCATAACACCTTAAAACATGGCCCAAAGCTTACCTTAATACTTTAAAAAAATAGTAAAATTAGCAGCATATATTTGTAACAAAGATTTAAAACAAGAATGGCATCCACATATACTAAATATTACATAGCAAGGTAAGTAAGCATTTAGAGTACGGCTTTTGAAGGGAGAAAAAATTGCAATGAGAAACAAAATTAAGTCACAGTACAAGTAGTTAAGGCACTAGGCGAGAAACAGGAAGACTGAATTCAGGTCTAGCCTTATCAATAAAAAGCAGCCGGGTGACTTCAAGCCAGTTACATTCAGCTCAACCTACCATACAGGGTGGATATTGGAAAAATAGAAGAAAGGTGTGTTGGATATGTTTGCTCTCCTGCCTTGAGTTATTTGGAAAAATAATACAGCCAGAAGATGACAGACAGAAAGACAATATTTTAATATATATTTAGTTATTTTTATTTTGTAATCTTTATTAACAATGATATAATTTTGGCATTTATCTCAGATCCACGTCTGAAGTTAAAATAATTAAATGTACTTTGTTTTTTATGATTAATTACTTAATACTTATTCAGTATATAATTTCAGTAATTCTTTTGTCTGGTTACTGATATATTTTCGAATCAACTTTTTTCTTTCCTCTTTTTTTCTTTTAAAAATTATCAATAGATAAAAAAAAGGGGGGGGATTACCCATAACAGCTGGAAATCTACATGCTCGAGTAGAATGTCATATAAAATATTTCTGCTACATAGAAAAGGCCAAAACAGAATAGATAGGTTACACTTCTCTATTATCTCAGTTGAAAAAAGAAACATCTATAAACATGTCCATTTCTATTTTGTTGTTAAGTGGCTGTTCATCTTTCTAACTTCAGTTCTGTTTTTCTTCAGAGTCATTTGTGTATTGCCGCATAATAAAATTAGGCTGGCTGGAGAAAAGTGGAAAGGGATTGAATGTATGTATTTAATTCATGATCCAGCAATCCATCCATCCTACTTCTAGCCATTAATTTTAGCACCAGAGCTGATGGAATGTCTCAGTCTGAACTTCAAATATTCTATAGTAAACAAGAAAAGAAAAGATCCTTGTGAAAATAATGCCTGCTTTTTTGTCTTCTTGCTCCTTCCAACCTCTTAGGACTCCCCCTCTCTGTAAAGAGAGTTTAGTTCTACAGTATGAATTTTAACTTCTCTGTTATTTAGCAAGAAAAAAAGTATTTTTAAAAAATGCAATAAAAACTAGAGTAGGTCCTGTGATTATTTAGAGAAAAGCAGTCCTGTGGAAACCAGCCATTGTCCAAAGAAAGACTCTCCATGTTTGGTAGAAACAGATTCTAAAGATTCTTGGACATCAGGCTATGCAACCATCCCAGAGGTTACCAGAATCCCTACAGCCTTTCCCTCCTACTATGTTGACATTCACATTTTGAATTTGTATTTCATCTAACTGAGTACACTACTTACTACCATGGAACCAATACAGAAAATCTATAGGTTTAAATTACAGGATCAATTTACATATCCATTTACAAATCAATAAATACAAAACAAAGGACATACAATTCATGCATCAAACTAGTTACCTCTGATCTGTAGGCCATGAAAGGATGCTTGCTTCCCTTTGACCAATGATAAAAAGATCTAGATTTTCTGCAAATCTAGACTTCTTCATAGGTAGTTGCCAGGTTTCATATTGCTATGTCCACCTTTTAATCTTTATTTTGTATTTGCTCAAGTAATGTGGGAATATAAAGGCACAGCCTAGAGACCTACAGTATGAATAATAAGCATACAGTAGTGCGGTTGGTTTGATTTTGACACGTTGTGTGAACTAAGACAGTTTGGCTTCTAAGTCATGCTTCCTGGTTAGCTTTATGGGTGATCTTGATTGTTAATGTTTATCAAAATATTGTTTACATGATGTTTGTGTTGTTATTGTTCATTCTTGGATTCCAATTGATTATTTTGCAAATTATATTTCTTTTTTTGCAAAGAATTCTTAACTGGTTGTTCTTGTATCACAAAGCTTGGATTGCTTGCATAAACACCTCTAATGGTTTCTTATATACAGTCTTTCTATATAAATCAGCACTTCCCAAACTTTTTTCTTCATTACCCAAAGGCACTTATCAGAAATCCTCTTTACCCAATGTAAGTAAAATACTTCAAGTCAAGTTAAACTTCCATATTGTGATTGGATAATGGGTTTTTGTATTGTTACCCAAAGAAAAACCACTTTTATCCCATTTTGGGTATTTTACTCAGGTTTGGGAAGCACTGTTATAAGTAATCTCTACTGCATTCCGACTGCAGATAATTGGTGCTAGGGTGCTGGTATAATTCATGCTGTCTTTTGGCTCAAGAGTGTTCCAGAGCTCTTAATCTACACTACGGGTGTCAAACTCACAGCGTCATGTTGCCATCACGTGACATTTTGCAATTTTTTTTATCCTTGTGGAGCTGGGGTGGGTGTGACCTGCATGTGACGCATCCACACCGGGAGCTGCCAGTTTGACCCCCCCTGCTCTACACCAGCAAAAGGTGTAGAAGAGTAGTTATGAATATGAGCTACATGTTGAGCTGAGCTTAGTCATCTGAGCAAGGAATTCATTGGTTAGTTTTAGAGAAGTTCTCTCCCAGTTGCATTTTGTTTTCTGCAGTATGAAAATACTAGAACTTTTTTTTATAGGCTTGTTATAAATATTTCTAAGTGTTCATGAATCACATACATTTTAATACACTGTTAACTCTATATACCTATGCAACATCATTTTTGTGCCCGTGTGTTATAAACACATATTTTGCAATGATTCTAAGGACTATGAGAAACTTGTGTAAAATGTTTTGCTGCAATTCTTCAACATTTTTCATATTTTCTCTTTTATCATATTGCCTCTTTAATCCTATCCTGACCAATGCACCTTCTTTGTAAAAAGATTATCTGATGTCCTAACTTCTGCCTTAAAGGCACTTTATGGTCAGTAAGCCTGACATAAAAAGAAACTTACAGCATGGGCATTAGAAGCCATTTAGGTAACAGAGACAGGGGCACATACTATGGGAACTGTAATGTTTTTGGGTCTTGAAATCTCAGCTACACTGAAATTGTGGGAGGAAAGAAGGTGCTTTGTGCGTGTAGTGTGTGTGTTCATAGATCCAGCTAGGTATATATATGCATGTATGCTCTCCTAAACTATCTAGCATTGCAAGCAGATTCCAGGACTTCCTCCAATCATGAAATTATATAAAACTACCACTTCAGAATGTCTACAAAAGGGGGTAGACATTTTTTTCCAGCTAAACTGATGGAATGGTTGCTAAAGAAGATAAAGGTGTCATCCTGATGAATCTAGCATCTTCCATGAGCTGATGGAATGAGCTTTATGTGCTGTTGGCCTGCTTCTCTGTCTTTGCTGCAATCCCGTAGGATTTCTTTTGAGGCTGGATCAAATTTCAATTCTGTCTTCTGATACAAAGAGCTGTACTTGCATAGCCATTCCTGATATTTTTCTGAATTTGCGCAACATGCTAAAATAACTTTACTGTAGTTGACTTGTTTGTGCTTGAATTACTTGAAGGTTTAATATGCAATGTGAACTCGGACAATTAGATAAATTCAATTCACTATGGTACAGAGGAGAGAAGGGAATTCTGCTTCATGGCATACCTATTCTGAAATTATCAAGTCCTTTGAAAATTATTTGGTTTTCAGCAAAAAAGAAATGGATTAACAATTGTGTATCTTTTAATGCTTCCTTGTATCTTTTATATTATAGTTCTGTCAAGCTTATTTTTAAGATATACATTACCATTCCATTAAAATATATATATCTAAAATGTTCCCAAGAGTGGCATTGTGTCATATTGTATTTCTAAAAGGTCTTGGATGTATTTCAATTACTTTGAAAATTAATATTCCAATAATTAACCCACTGGATATTTGAGGTGTGAATTGTTTTTATATTTAACATAAAACTTTAATAATGACATTCCATTTTCTTTTCTTTTAATCCATGCTGAGGGTTAGATTTTTATGTGGCCCTGCTAGGTAAAAGGAACCACACTGTTTGGCCAATATCAGCAATTCTGACAAACTAAAAATAAAGATGGCACTGAAAAACTCCAGTTGCTAAATTTTTTTGAAGAAGAATGATGATTGTGCAAGATCTTGGTACCTGGACAAATAATAACCCTGGGGTCTTGGTGGGAGGCACTCATATCTGATAAGGATTCCATAAAGACTACATTGGATATTAGAAGAAGACCTGTAACTTCTTGACTTGTTAGGAGAAGATATCAGTGTGAAACGTATCTATGTGACTTGTCTTCTTTGGTAAGGAAACAATGCAAGGATGCCTCTCATGCTCTACTACAGAAGAATTGGATCTGTGGATGGACATATTCTTAATGTTTTTCTTTGATAATTTTGAGGATAATACTCAGTTCAGGATTTCAGTTTCAGGCCTGTACTGCAGCACTACTGACACTGCAATCTCTTCTAATTCTCTGGCTACATTATCTTTGGATTCTGGAATTTGAATCCATATCCAGCATCAAGTTAGGAAAAGAAAGAAATCTTGGTGTCCCTTGTAGAAATATTATTGAAATGTAATTTATAAATTTTACAAAGAGTGGCCTAGCTTGGCAGACCCTTCTGTGATGTTCTAGGACATTTTGGGGGAATTATAATGATAGGCATTTAAGAGAACACAGCTGTGTAAAAGATGGGGATTCAAGCTTAATGTCCAGCATATGAGCACTGCTTAAAGATTGGACAGATGGACTAAACTTCAGTAACTGTGAGTTAGATAAATTAAATACAAAACTATTTTTTCTTTCCTAGACTGATTTTTTTAAACTGCCTTATACTTTATAGCTACATAACAGCAGCCCTCTAAGAAATCATTGAGATTATCCCAGCCTGACTAAATGAGGACTGAGTTTAATACCCTAAGGGTTTTTCTTTTACCTTGTGGGAAACCAGATGGTTTTGAACTATTCAATGTACTATATTTGTAAAAATCTTATGTGGTTATGTGAACCCAAACTTTTTTTCATGTGTTTTGTTATGCTTTACCAAATAATCAAAGTTCTTCTCACTATCACATGTTATATCTAAATTGACTACTTTAAGATGGGTGAACTTCAATTCCTAGAAATAGCTGAAAATATCATTGGCTAAGGAATTTGGGGAATTGAAGTCCACCCATATTAAGACTTAGTAGATTAAGACTTTGGAAACCTGGTTTGTTTGAATAATGCACAGTTTTGTCTTGGCTTTATTCCTGGTTTGTGAGGAACAGTATTAAGTTAAGGATCCAATGTGGCAATAATATGGTATTTTCCAGATTTTGTCTGAGATTGTTTCTCAGGACCATCTGTACTTTGGCTTAATTCACCTTCCCAATTTAATAATATGTGAGGTAGATTAGGAAGAAAGATTATGAGTTAGGAACAGAGGTGGGTTGCTGCCAGCATTACAGCTGGTTCAGTGTGCACAATTTTTTGGGGGGAAAAACGACATTGCACCATTCCTAGATGATGATTTTCCAGAGTTTGATGTGAATGTTTCATAAACCAATCTTTTTGCTGTTTGAGAAATATAGTAGAATATAAATTTAAGTTAAGCGAATCTGCTTCCCCGTTAATTTTGCTTATCAGAAAGTCTAAAGCTGCAACCATCATAAATATCAACTAGTTGCCAAGTGTTTGATTTTCATTTTTAAAAGCCTTATCTGAGTTATAAGTCTCCAGGATTTATTTTGCATCTGAAATCTTATTGATGAATTCAAATCATGCTAACCAACTCGTTGCTTCTGCATATGTATACATACATATATACATATATACATATATACATATATACATATACATACACAACACAAAAATGTAACAAAGGCAACAGTAAAATATTGGGCTTTCTGTCTGGATGGTCTCTTGTGATGAGCCAATGGACAGAGAATGGAAGCAGTTAGCTTCCTTCCATAATTGGGGCATACCAGGGGTTGTGACACTAAATTATATCTATATCTCTATATCTCTATATCTATCTATCATCTATCTATCTATCTATCTATCTATCTATCTATCTATCTATCTATCTATCTATCTATCTATCTATGCGTGTGTGTGTTATATTTGTGCTGATAAATAAATAAAGGGAGACTAGTATAGATCTATTTCAAGCTATTTAGCTCTCATCAGCTAGCCATACCCTTGCTGGGAATCGAACCTGTGCTCTATTGCCTCTTAGGCAGATGTGTTAACCATTGAGCTACAGAACTCGACTCCTTATCATATATATAGTGTCACAACCCCCTATCCTCTAGGTATGGAGGCGTCAGAAAGTGGACTATGATCCACCAAATCCTTGAGATAATCTGAGTACTAGTAGATCCTACCAAAGTAATCATTTGCTTGAAAAAAAGAATTGAATAACTCCGGAAGCTAGATCAGCATGCTTATGTGTGTGGCTTCTAAGAACTATCTAAAGAAAAGAAAACGTATTTGGATTTTTACCCTAACCAAAACTCTAGGGCCAACCTTTTTGGGAAAATTCCTTAATGTTATGTGGTTTATATTATAATATGTTATATTTTAAGGGCGGGGGAAAGGAAAAGTACTGTTTTTGAAGGTTCTCTTTAAAAAAATGTAGATACTACTTGCTCTGTGACTGTTTCCTGCGTTTGTGTGTGCGCGTGTTTCTGTGTACGCGCGCGCGTGTGTATGTTATCAGGAGCAGGAAACAGGAGCTGGAAGAGCGAGCGAGTACAGAGGCTATTCCAGGCTACCGAAGGAAGGCGGAGGCGGAAGGGGACCATTTTAAATCATTTTCTCCCCTCTGGCAATAGTGAGATTGCCCTTTCCCCTTTATTTTTGGCCACGGGGAGGTGTGGCAAAGCTGCCTTAGGCCACAAAAGGTGAAGCCACCACGTGGGATGCGTTATGGTGTTGCCAGTCTGACGGCTGCACATTTTGTGGTGTGAGACTGGGGGAGGGGAACAGGAGAGGGCCGCTGGAAATCGAGGAGGGATAAGAGCCCGAGGAAGCAACAGCAAAAGAGGAAGAAAAGCACCGGAGAAGCTTCTTCCCCCCCCCCTCCCGCGTACCCATCTCCTGCAAGCACCTCCCCAAAACAGCCACTTCCATGGTCTACAGCTGCTAACGATGGATTTTCTTTGTCAAGCAAACTGGGAAGTGATGTAAGTCCAACCCCCATCTCCTAATTGGGATCAGCCGGGCGAACGGGGAGGGGGTTTCGTAACGGAGCAGGGGAGCTTTTGAGGGGTAAGAGTGGTGCTGCCTCCCCGAGAATGCGCTCGCTTGGGCTGCTGCCGAGGATGATGCCGTTGCTCTCCCGGGAAAGAGACAGTCCATCCACATGACATGACTTCCCCCGGGAGGTTGGGGGGGACATCGTCGAGTAACAAACCGTGTACCCCGTAGCCTCGGCCCAGCGCCTCGAGTCTCCGGGGAAAGGGGGGGGGGATGATGCGCGATTGTTCAGGAGAGCAGCAAGCGCTTCCTCATAGTTATTTGCACCATTCCTCCTCCCTACCCCATCTGTAATATTGAACCCCATTATTCTCTTACCTTCTTTTAGTACAGCTCCCCTCCCCCCTGCCGTTTCTCCCTCCCCCAAAACTAGAAGGTTGAAGCCCTCCACATCTAGTATTTATGCTGACTATCCCTTGCGATGGTCCCCCTAGTCAAATCAGTTCTCACCCCTTCCTCTATTTCATGTTACCCTTTCAACTTTGCTTTCCATTTTATATCAGGTTGTTGCTCCTGCCTTCCACCCCCTTTTTCCCCAGAAGGGCCTGTGATATTTCAACCCTTCCCCCACTTTGATCTTGTTGCTGCCTAATCGAAATTAATATTGTATTTTTCTCGCTCTCTTCCCAATTGCATATCTTCTCCCCATTAGACTCTGGGCTGTTCCCTGTTAATTGCTTTCCTGATCCATAACCTCCCTTTTCCTTTCTATTTACCTTTCTAATCCTAGGACCTGTGTACCTCTCTCCTAATCCAATTTTCTGTATTAAATTATGTCCTATTCTAAAAAAGCTCAATAATTTTACAGCATCTAGGATTGGAAAGATTTTAAAATAAAGTAGGAAGAGGGTAATCGGTATGGGATGGAGCAACCAACAAAGGGGCCAATGTCATTAAAGATATAGTTGTTTTTTAATGGAAAACATAACTAAAACATCAGTGAGCTGTATATTCTATTTTCTGGCCACTTTGCCTATTACTTGCCATACTGATGGTAGGAACTGTGCTTCTACATTCCCTACAGTATTTACTGCCCTTTCCATCTGCTGTTCCTGTACTTTCCCTGTATGCCATCTGGGCTTAGTGTTTTCTCCCCACCCCCCTCACTTTTCATTGCCTCCTTCCCCTTTTCCTAGTATGCCTGGCTTTTGTGAGCCTCCCTATATTTCTTAATGCAGACTGCACCTTCCTTCGATCTCATACACAATTTTGGTCTGTATCTTGACACTTAATCTTGGATTTGTTCCCTGCCTACCCTTCTAATTACTCAAAGTCAGGATGTGAAACTAAGTGAGAACTCCAGATGAGTTGCATTGAGTTCCATAATGGAAAAAAGCAGAGCAGGAACATACTAAATAAGGAGTAAATCGACCTATATTGATCTTTTTGTTGACAGCTGCGCTGCAATCCCACTGAATTCTAGGGGTGCTCTTCCCCCTATTCCACATCATGCAGCTACAGGATGGATTGTTTATTTGATTCCTCCCATTGCTGTCATAATACTTCCAGCAAGTTCCTTCTGTTTTTCCATTTGTTACATAACTTTTAAACCTATTCCCCATTCTACCTAATCAAATTCTACCTTATTAGGGTTCAGCCTTCAGACTCTGATTCTGAAAAGATGCTGAGAATTTGCTGAGAGTTCTTGCTTGTTCTGAGGTATAAATGTGTGGCTTTCTTTCTATTTCATAACCCCAGAAGCATCTGATGCCACTTATTTCATGGGTGGGAACTTATAAGGAGAGACCAAGTTGATGATGAGTATTTGTTTTGAGTTCTTGCTCATCTTTTTCTCTGAGCCTGATTCTGTCCACATGGTTGACTTTCCTATGAGGCAAGGGTGAAATAGTTGCTTCTGGAGGCCAACTTTAGATTTTGTGAATAGCAGAAGGCAAGCAGCAAATCTAATCTCTAAGGTATAATTTGGTGGGCAGCCCTTTCCGTTGATATGAATGGGGCACCTATTTAAGGGCACCTATTCTCCTCGTTCTCAGTTTTGATTATTGCACGCAACATTGGTAGACATTTTTGCAATTTTGAATGCCCAAGTAGGCATCATGGTTAGAGAAGTGATAGAACTGTTCCATGTACCTGAAATTATGGAGCATTATGAATGGATTTCCTCATTAAACTTGTTCTGGATTTATCTTCCTTTATCTATTAACATTTCTGGGCAATATACATAGCATTCAATCCTTCTATTTTTCTTGACAACAGCTGTGTGAAGAAGGTTGGCCTGAGAGGCAGTAATTGGTCTAAAGGCACCTGTCTACTTCCATGCTTGAAGATGGACTTATAGTTGGGTCTCCTCTATTCTAATCCATCACTTTAACCACTATATAATCAGTAACATTTTCTGAGTTTTCCACATGACTTCTGAGGCCACCAAGAATAACTGGAACATATTAGGCAGCACGAACAAGAAAATAATAAACAAGAACACAAGATTCTTCTATTACATGTAATTCATTTCTTAGTTACAATATTTTTTTATTGAAAATCAGCTTCCACGTAGGAGGAATGGCACATGCAGTTTAATATGGAACTCTTCAACTTAGTGCTTGGAGATGGAATGTGCAACAAAGTGCTGTGGGATATTTCATCTTAGAATAGTGCTCCTGTTAAGATTACTTGGATATGCCTTTCTCCAGTATACCATCAATAGGAAGAACTTATGCAGGGTAGTTCTTTCTCTCACATTCTCCCTTTGTTTTAGTTTTTCCTTTCAGTAATCCTTGGTCTTCTGTAGATATGTATGGTCACTAAATCTCTTTTATTGTAAGTTTTTAAAATAGTAAAGTTGTTAAACATTATAATTAAAAAGATAAAAACTAATACAAGCAAAGAAAAAAATAACACTATAAACAAGAAGAAAAATGATATAAACAAATGCTTTTCCTTTATCACAACAAATATAAACAATTTTAGTAACTTATCAACTTTTAAAATACAACAAATAATCTCTTCTTCCCAAATCTCTTCTGTTAGCTATAAAAATATCCTTAAAACCTTGTTCAGTCCTATTAGCAAAAGTCTATTAAAGGAGATAAGAGAAATAACATCTATTTTAACATTGATCAAATAAACCAACTTTATATTCCTTCCTTTTACTTTTAGCAATCTTTAATCCCTTCAAATAATGTCTCAGAACTGATTTCTTTCATTTTTTTCTTTGATCCTTCTCACAAAACCTTTCAAGAATTTAACAAGCCCCTTTTGTATATCCACTATAGAAAATTATCCAGGTTCCTCTTTTGGTTTGTTATTTACATATCCTTTTTAATTATTAAAACATCAGCCAGTTTCATTTGTATATCCAGTTTAGCATCTTTTTCTATATCATTCTTGTAGCCTTTCATTTTTAAATCTAGTTTTGGATCTGTCTCAGTCTCGTTCAGGAAAATTTGTTCCTCTTCCATAACATTTTTTTAAACACAGTCTATATATAAAGACAGACACTATTAACATTAACTCCTGGGTCAATTCTTCACAAATATCCTTATGCTTCCCTCTGGTATCATTTTTTAAACAATTGCTTTCCAATGGGAAGGATCTTTCTAATTAAATCAAAGTCTTATTTCAAATCCATCTGGACCCATAATTGTTTGTAATTTTCAAAAATCAATATTCTCACAATTTCTTTTCCTGTTTATTCCAAAAAAGAATGAATGTTTTTTTTAATTAAACTTTTATTTATTTTTGCAAAGTGTTGAAGGAAAATTACACAGTGGTGTAAAACATGTCATTTTCAAGGTTACTAATAGCTAAAAAGTAATCAATAAACAATTTCCAAAAGTTATTAGAAAAGGGAAATGTGTTAACCCTGGGCCAATTATGGTTTGAGTGAAGATGGCATTCCCTCATCTCCCAGAATTCTAAAACTTCCAGATACGAGTGTTTTGTGATCTCCTTGGGGGGGGGGGGGGACAATTCTCTGGAGCACTTCTGGGAGATCTCAAATCTTCTCTCTTTCTGGAGAAGAATCCTGGTGAGCTGATCCATTCACAAATTTGTGATTCCACTGGGGTTGGCTCCAATCTCCTCAGTGGAGCTGTTTTCACTTTAACGGTTCTTCTCCAGAAGTGATCTTTATTGTAGCTCTCATTGACTTCAGGAGCAAAGTTTCCCTTCTGGTTTCATTTTATGTGTACTTCTCCAATATTTGATATTTCTACCTTTATTTTGATAGTCTTTTGATTTTCATTACTGTTGGTGTAGGAGATTGGGAGGAAGAAAAAAAGCAGAGTCATGGTTCTAAGATATTGAAGTTTAAAGAGGGCTGATAGAAGTTCATGAAAGGAACCAGCTATGATTTAGGCTTTTAGGTCACATCCTCTCAAATGTTAACCTTTCGATTGTGTCACTTATGTGCTGATATGGAGAAAAGGAATCATTTACAGCTTCCCTTTTGCAGTTGGGCAATGGGTTATTTCAGAACATATGTTGGCGGCTAGGTGGATTTAATAGGGAGATCTGACCAGTCTAGGCTTCCTAATCTATATGACTGCTGTGTGGATTTAGTGGGGAGTGGGGGGACCTAAGCAGTGTAGACTTCCCAATGGTTTGGATTGTCAAATGTGCACTTTTTAATGCCTATTTTCCATATTTAATATATAAATGGAAGGAATGGTATTTGAACACAATCTTTGGAAGCGTTCCTGGATTTTATCTGGAGTTTTCCGTCACATGTGGATTTTTATGTTGGCTGCAAATCTTGGCTTTCCTTTCCTTTCATTCACTTAGGCAAAATTTCTTGTACTTAGAATATCAAAAATAAACTTGAATGTACCATGTAGTAAATTATTTGAAGTATACAAAGGAGACAGGTGGTTTATTACTGGAGATTTATAGTACTTTGAGAAAGTGCTTCTTTATAAGAAAATCCCCTCTTGGTGAATAGTGCTCTCTGTATATATGATATATACAT